GCAACATAAGTAATGTATAAAGAGTACATCTGTGGGTCATTTTTACATTTTCCTATAGACTTTGCTGAATATGTATCTCTTCTGTGAATTTTTATTAAATTAATGCCCCAGGCTCTGATTACACCTTTATTTTGCCTCACTGAATACCATAGTTCATCATTCATTTATTCACTCATTGAATGCCTTCTATCTTCAAGCACTGTAATATGGACAGTGGAGATATAAAAAAGGAAAAAGAAAACATATCCATCTTCAATGAACTTACAGTCTACCAGAGAAAATAAGAAGTATCAAATAATTATATCACAGGAGGTAATGACTATCTAGTGTGCATAGACCTCACCTGCAATTATTAAAATGAGATAAATATTTATAAAATATTTGTAGAAGTTTGGCATCTGGTCTGCACTTTTAAGGATGCATATATTTGCAATACAATCTAATATAGTACAAACATTTTATAGTGTATTTCATGTAACTGTACAGTTTTATATTGTTTCAAAAATAAATTTCTTCCTTTTCATCTAGTTAGCTTTTGCAAAGTCCTCAAGTTATGGTTATTCTTTCTAAGAAGGTAATCTGTTCTCTCATTTGTACTGTGTTCATACTTCAAAGATAGCCTTAATCAAATTGCAGAGTAATCATCTCATTATTTCTGTCCCTCCCACTATAAATTTCTTGAGATGGTGAGTTTCTTTTACGTTTTCTTCTCATTTCCAAAATTTAAAATGCATTGTAGACATTCAATAAATGTTTATTAAAGGGATAAATGAATAAATAAATAATGCAGGTTCCTCAAGGCAAGAAATCATATTTCTTATTGTATTTTAGCAAATATTAATAAAATAAAATTCTTTCCAAGATTTTCAAATGTATATTACAATGCATATTTTCATACAGTAATATGTTTTATCTACTTAAATCTAATTACAGACAGCATATTAATATCTCATTTGACAAGGCACATTTTAAGAACTTTGCTGGATTACATTTCACATCCGTGCCACAACTTACATAATTTAGAGTTAACTAAAAATTCATGATTATATGCTGCATATAGTATTTTATTAATAAATTAAAATATTTTTGAATCTACCCTTAATAAGAAGCCAGCCTCGTTTAATGAAAAATTGCAAACACTAGATGCAGGCTGTTAAAATTTGCATTGTATTAATAACTTTGTAGCATACTAGCTCTGTTTCCTTAGGCAAGTCATTGAAATTCCCCTAAGTTTCAATTTACTCATCCGTAGAATGAAGATATCAAAAACTATTCTTATTCAAGGTTATTGTCAGAATGACACACGGAGTATATGTGCTCATTTAATAATAGTTATGATAATGATAATGATGATATATGGAGGGTAGTTTGAAGATAGAAATACTGATAACAAACACATGGCCCATATTATGCCCCAGACATTGTTCTACAAATCTAGACCTGTTTACTCAGATTCAACAGGGATGTGATGAGAATATCTTCCATGTTATACTGCAACACCTTGAGGGACAGAGACAGTGTCTGTATTTTCTTCCCCAATGCCTTACACTAATTAATTCATTTAATAAATAAAATAGCTCAAAGAACTGATTTGGATGTGGTCATAGAGCAGGATTTAGACTGACAAGAAGTACTACATTCATGGAGCTTATTTTCTAAAATTGAGAGATATACAATATATTACACAAAACAAGCAGATTGTATGGTATACAGTGACAAATGCTATGAAAAAATAGAGCAGGGAAGGAGAATAGGAATTGTGGGAGTGGCTGTGATATTCAGTGAAGTGGTCAAAAAAGTTTTATTTATAAAGTGTTGTTTGAAGGAGTTTAGGAAGCAATCTATGGGCACACCTCAGAGAAGTGCATTTTAAAGAGGGGAGGTTATGCATGTGTGAGGGCAGGGGTATGTGGGATATCTCTGTACCTTTCACTCAATTTTGCTCTGAATCTAAAACTGCTCTAAAAAATAAAGTTTATTTTAAAATGTTTGATTTCTAGAATGTTTATTTTAAAATTTCTTCACATTTATTTTGCTATAAACATAAATTTATTTTAAACAAGTACCTTCCAAAGAAACATTTTTTGAGAGAAACATTGCCATAATATACTTTGGGAAGTAAGTTTAAGTTAAATAATGATATTTTGTTTTTGTAAAAGTGTCATTACATTACACCTACCCATGATTGCCAAAGTGTACTGTTTGGAACATTGGTTTGGGGAGAAGGCTGACAGTTTTTATATTATATATATATATATATATATAAAGTAACCACATAATATATATTGCATATAGCATGTCTATGTTATATATAAAGTGTATATAATTGTACTGGAAGTTTGTTCAAAGTAAAAAGAAAACAGAAGTTTTCTATACTCTCCCAAAACCCTACTGGAAGCTGACTTTAAAGAATATGCCACCAAGTAGTGAAAAGTCTTTCACCTTTTCTAACATAAAAAAAAAAAAAAAAAAACTTCAAAATTTCTAATCAGGGTGCTGCAACAAATCACATGGCTCAGTTATTGTAATAGATAAATTCTTTTATTTCATTTCTGTCTTTTAGACTTTTTAAAATTAATCTCTGTATTCCATAGTTATTGGATGCTTTCATCAGGCATCAGAATCTGGACTCTAAGAGGTAAAGTAGAAGTGTGATGATTACTTCTACGTGGTCCAGCCTAATCCTCGAACTATTAAGGCTTTTCATCTTTCAATCGCACATTATCTTTTCATTATCTTAAATCAAAGTGAGCTGCCTCACCCCTCTTCAATCCTACAACTGGATTGAAAGGACACATTTGCCCACAAAATGTCAAATATTAAATCATTTGAAATATAAGAACTTCAAATATCACCTGTGTCGTTTATTGAGTATTGATAGTATACCAAACATATGGGCAAAGTAAGTTACACACTTGCCCTGTGAGGGAAAGAAGTGGGTGGAGTTTTGTGACAGGTAAAGATACCGAGACTCAGAAAAGTTAAAACTTGTTCAAGATCGCGATGGTACAAAATTAAGGAGCTGTTACTGAAACTTGAGTTTGCCTGATTAAAAGCCAAAGATTTGAGATCTTTGCTGTAACAAAAACATGTATAACCTTAAAAATAACAGATAAAAATGACATATGTAATGGAATATTGAAGAAACGGTATGAACAGTAACTATGCTGCATTGTCAACATTTATTTTGAATAACTTATTGAGAATAAGGCATGAAAAATAAAATTGTAAAATCAAGACATATAAATTATTGCCAGATATAATTTATTGGCTTGTTAACAAATATTATTATATATTAGTAAATCTTATATCCATGGTACATCACCTTTACTACTAAGTGGATACAAAATACCAGCAGATAAAGAGACTCATCCAGACAGTAGGATCCTATTTAGCTTTTAAATAGGTCACATTGACAAGAGCAAATATCTTAGGCACTGAGGAATCCTGAGTCAGCAGTTTTATTTTTGTTTTTAAATAATATTAAATTAAGTGGAGTGGCTAGAATCTCAGAGGATAATATTAAAATTAGAATTTAAAGGCTGGGTATGGTGCCTCACATTTGCAATCCTAGCACTTTGGGAGACCAAGGTGGGAGGATCGCTTGAAGCCAGGATTACAAAACCAGCCTCAGCAAATAAATAAGACCCCATTTCTACAAAAACTAGAAATATTAGCCAAGCAAGGTAGTGCAGATAGAAGTCCCAGGTACTAGGCAGGCCAAGCCAGGATGATTGCTTGAGCCTCGTGGTTTGAGGTTGTGGTGAGCTATGATAATGTCACTGCACTTTAACTTAGGCAACAGAGCAAGATCCTATCTTAAAAATCAATCAATAAAAAAATAAAAATTAGACTTCAAAGTAACACTTAAAACATTATCAGAAATATAAACTGAAGTTTCATTTTAAATTAAGCAGGTAGACTAAACAAAACACAGCGCACAAAAGCAAAGGAGAATGATAATATGTAATTTGAACACTCAATAATCCTCATGAGAATGTAGACTTTGAAGTGTAGGTAATATTATTATATAAATATAGTAATAATTTTCTTTTTCATAACTGTATTCCCAATGTGTGTTAACAGTTTCTAAATCATAATAAGCTCTTAATAAATATTTGTTGAATGGATGAGTAAATGAATGGATGCATTGTTATATTGAATTTTTGAAAAGGAATCTTAACAATGACAATAGTTAATTAGTTTTTAGTGCTATACATTTATTTGGGAGCTCTCAAACTAAAAGAAATGAAAGTGAAAATATTAAGTGAGGTTAAGAGAAGCATAACAAATTACAAAATTTACACAATTAAGAAACTGACATATAAGTAAAAATAAAGCTAGATACTGTTTTTTAACTGATAAAAACAGCAGAATTAGTGAAAATCTTTATGAATATAAACTTATTGATAAAAAATAATCACTAGAAGCTATTTCTTTCTACAGGAAAAGAGAAAGTCTGCTTACATTTTAAAAGACATTAGAAAAACTTCATAATGGTGATCCCACTAAAATTTAGCAAATAATAAATTTGGAAAAATAATAAATAAATTGATCCATACCATCATTTATAAATGAACACTTACTAATTGCTTACAGGTTTCAGGAACTATGATGGGCATTGAAAATACAAAGATGGCTAGGATATGTAACCTGGCTGCAGGGATCCAAAAGAATGTCTTTGACCTCAGTGGGAAAATAAATTAGATACTCTTAAAGTTATAATCTCTGAGTACTGTGATACATGGGCACTGGTATGAATTTAAGCATCCTTTCCTGGAGAACTTATCTTTTGTTTCATCAAAATAATGCAATTCACAGAGAAATAGTTAAACTCATAGCTCTAAAGCACCATTCAAAGAACAAACTGATTGTTAGTCTAGCCATATCTCTATATAACCTATAATTGAAAAAAACAATTCCATTCTCAAGGTCTATGGGGCAATATGCAAATCAGAATTCATCTTCACAATGGAGTTTTGTGATTTCACTCATCATAACCTATCTTTATTTGCTAGCTCCTTACCTAACAGAGGGTTCAGTAACCCCCACTTCTCCAGTGCTCTGGCAAAGGAGCAAGAGATTGCTTTCCAGGTGGGTAGTCACAAGTAAGAAATTTCAAGAATCCTCTAATGAGGCAATCCATAATGGTTTTTCCAACTTAGCTCATTCTCCAACCACAAGGGAAAACAAAGGAATTCTAGCAACCTATTTGAAGTAGGAATACACACACACACACACACACACACACACACACACACTCCTATTCCTTGTGTTAAAAAAAGAAAGAAAATGAATACATATATCAGATGATTACTATATAGAGTTGTCTTAAAAACAATTTTTGCAGGTCATTTGATATATTCTCTAGGCCTTGGCTAACTTTGGACTTTAAAGAGTGGATAATTGTTTTAATATTATATTCCATATTTAATATATTATTAGCCTTAAAATCTTCCTTTGGGGAGAAGGAGGACTCAGAAATTAACGTGTGTCTTTAGTTTAAATAGTAATCTAAATTTCCATATGCTTATTTATTATATATGTATAAATTATCAAATACTTGTAACCTAATAGAATGAAATGTATCATCTTAAATATTTATGTAGGGGCTTAGAATTTTTTGTTCTTCTTTTCTCTCTCAAATGAATAGCAAACACTAAGAATGGAGCATAATAAGATTCTTTATTTTAGGTAGTTTCAAAAGTACTAACTGTATGATGAGATAACTATAACCTTGGACATAAAGATGAAAATATTAAGGTGACAATAGAGACTTCAAGACTTAGGATCTATTTAATATATCTACTTGCAAACTCATCAATTGCTGTGAGGAATGCTTTCTTTAAAAAATATAATGATATAGTCATTTCAAAAGCACCTGAACCAGTCAGTATCTGTAGGACTGGGGTCTGGAATTTTCAGCACACTCTGTTGGGGATGTTTTACATACACTAAAAGTTCTGGTACCGCTACTCTAAATAGTTCTCATCTCATTCTCCAATGCATGAAATAAAGACTTCTAATTGCAATTATTATTATTATTATTATTATTATAGCCTTTTTGAATTAGAAATGAACATAGAATACAACTATTCAAACCTTTACCACAATTTGGAGGTGAGGAGACTCCCTCCAAATTTCTATTTATATACTTGAAACTAGTAATTTCTGCAGCAATTCTTGACCATTCTCCAAAATACAAAGCCTCTCAGTCATCAACGTTCAGGTCGCCTCCTTCCTCTGCCACTATTATGTTATCTAATATGTCAGCCATGCCTCAACTTAATAGGAGAATCTACCCTGCCTTATCTTCCTTCCTAGCCTGCTCTATAAAACCTTACCCATCCATTTATTCATGTAGGCTAAGGAGAAAGCATGACTGACAAAAACTATGCAATAAAGAACACAATAAAGAACCACAGTGATCAATCTCAGCCAGAGCTACCTCAAAAGTACTTTTATTTCTTTTTTTTCCCATTCAATAGTCAGGCCAAAATTTCAGTGGCAAACTTCGCAACTATAGCTCATCCTCACAAATACATCATCATCATCATCATCATCAGGAACCATGTTTCTTTCCATTCAGCTTATTAACACTCCAAATAAATCCTTCCAGGTCCACAGGGTCCTTTGCATATCATCCTCTCTGTCACACAAATTTGCTGCTTCACTGTGTCCTTAACCCTCATACTGACTCTTTCCTCTCAGCATGTAGATACGCAGCTCCACTGATTGAGCACCAGTGTTGTGATATAGGTCCTTTACAAACATCTCTGTAAACCCCAAAGATAGGTGTTATTATCCTAATTTTGCAGAGCAGGAATCTGAGATTTAGTGTCCACAACTTTCCCAATTAATTAATAATAGCTAATATTAATTTAGCTCTTATTATTAGGCAAATTTCTAACCATTTTAAATTACAGTCATGTATTGCTTTATATCGGGGATACATTCTGAGAATTGCGTTATTAGGTGATTCCATCATTGTAGAAACATCATACTTACACAAACTGAACCTACTAATCATACTTACACAAACTGAACCTACTACATACCTAGGGTACATGGCATAGCCTATTGTTTCTAGGCTACAAAGCTGCAGAGAATGTTACTGTGCTGAATACTGTAGGCAATTATAGCACAATGGTAAGTGTCTATCTAAACATATCTAAACATAGAAAAGGTACAATAAAAATATTTTGTCTATGGGACCACTATTGTATATGTGATCTGTTGCGAACCAAGATGTCCTTATGTAGCACATGACTGTATTAAGTAATATAATCTTCCTGATAACTTTATTAAGTAAATAATCACATCATCACTATTTTATAGTTAAAGAAACATTCTAATTCTATCTAGTACCTTGTCATCTCTTATTAGAGTAAATTCTTGAAAGAGTTGTCTATCTCAAGACCTCTTCTCCCTAAATTTACATGAACTCTTACTAGCTGGAGTGTTTGTACCAAGCCCTGTACAATGCCACAAAAATAAAGCACAAAGACACCCTTTCTTTAAACCTGTTATTTCTCTCTCTCCTTTTAGTCTCTATCTCTCTATACCCCTGACTTTATACCTTTCTGTCTCTCTCCTCTCTCTTTCCCCCTCTTTCTCCTCCCTCCTTCTCTCTTCTTATTCACAATTCTTGGTTAGATTACATATAATCGTTTCCTAATGATCTCTGTTTCCAAATCCTTTTTCAAATCAATATTTTAACATCATCAGAGTGTCCCTTCTAATCAGAAACATGATCAAATTGTTTGTCCACCAGAGCAGCAGTCCCCACCCTTTGTGGCACCAGGGACTGGTTTCATGGAAGACAATTTTTCCATGGACCAGGGTTGGTGTGGGGGGTGGTGAGTGACGGGGAGCTGCTGTAAATACAGATGAAGCTTTGCTCACTTGCCTGCCACTTGCCTCCTGCTGTGTGGCCAGCTTCCTAACAGGCCACTGACTGGTATTTTCCATGTCCCGGGGATTGGGGACCACAAGCTCTACTACCTAGTAGAGAATCCTCTACTAGCCTCTATCCTCTACTAGCCTCAGGATAAATTCTCCTAGACGGGACATAAAAGGCTCTGGAAAGTGTTCATAAAGTACCTACAATTTTCTGGACTTATCCTCACTTTCTGTTTCATGCCTTTGCCCATGCTTATTCTCATACTTGAATGTTCTCTCTGCCTTCCTTCTCAACATAGAACACACACACACATACACATACGCAAACTCCTGTCTAGAAAATCCCTATACATCATTCACATTCATGATCCACCATATATTCATTCTAATTATTACAAAGCAACCTGTGAGTACTTCATTCACTTAGATCTCCATTCTAAATCATAGCTCAGCAAACTATCTGTAAAAAGTCAGACAGTAAGTATTTTAGGCTTTGTGATCCTAGACAAAAATTGAGTAACCATTTTCTCAGAAATGCTAATTTTTAAAAAACATTTTAAATTTTAAAATGGAAAAGCCACTCTTACCTTGCAGGATGTACAAAAGCAGGAAGTGGGCCAGATTTGAACCATGAACATAAATTGCCAATATTTGTTCTAGATTCTAATTGTTTTATAACTTACCCATTTCTCATATTTTACTATAAGAGTATAGGAACCATATTTTTTATCTTGTTGTTTTTAGTGATTATTCTAGTGTTTGGCCATTTAGAAGTTGTTTATTAATATTAATATAAAGCAAGTAAGAAAGGATATTTAATCCTCAGTCTATGTCACAGATATTAATATAATCAACCATTTCATTGTATAGAAGAAGAACTCACATCAAAATAAAGGTTAATGTGGCTTACTTAAGTTTATAGTAAATATAAATAATGCATACTATATTTAACAATATGTGATTAATGCACTGTACCACTCAATCATGCATATTTGTTACTCTTTGAGGCAGAGATTGTGCCCTATTTCTTTGAGCACCCAGCATTGCATAACCTTAACACTACGAATGAGATGCTCTTATTTTTTTATTATAAATAGTGAAATTGAGCATAAATGGATTTAGTGACTTATCTAATAGAACATAGATAGAACATGGCAGAATCAGGACACAAACCTAGTCTTCTGATCGCATACATGGGAACTTCTCATCATAAATGCGCTTCCTCTATACCATAAGGAAACATTTGTTGAATTCTCAAAGTGTTTTTAAAATTCAAATTTTATATATATGTATATATATATATATATATTGCCAAATGAGAGTCAATTAAACTAAGACCTTAAAACTTTTCAGCCGCCAAAGGAATAATTTTCTCCCTGAGTTTGAAATATTGATCAGAAAATTTAATTACTGTTGGGCACGGTGGCCCATGCCTGTAATTCCAATGACTTGGAAGGCCAAAGCAGGAGGATCGCTTGAAGCCAGGAGTTCGAGACCAGCCTGGGCAACATAGTGAGACTACATCTCTAAAAAAATAAGAAAAGTAATCTGGGCATGACGATATATGCCTGTTAGTCCCAGCTACTCAGGAGGCTCAGGCAGGAGGATCACTGGAGCCCAGAGGTTCAAGGCTGTAGTGAGCTATGATTGTGCCACTGAACTCTAACCTGGGCAATAGATCGAGATCCTGTCTCTAAAAAAAAAAGTTAATTGCTATTAATGCCCTTAAAAATGTTTTTCAACTCAGTAAATAAGTAACTGCCTTGATTATGCTTTTACAGTAGTTCCTGTAAAAGTTATATTACCAGTAATCCAAGTAACCTCAAGAGGGAAAATAAAATAAAGAAAAAAACTGCAGGGGGCAAGAGAAAATAGAAGTGGATGATGGATAAAGATTGATACATAAATGCCTTTCATAGCATTATGTTATACATATCCCTTTAGTAAGGCTGATGTATATTTTCTTTAATTTTTGCATCTTACCATTTGTGAGAAGGTTGCTTAGCCATTATTGACTATTTAAATGTGAGAATATATATTTTTCATGAAAGGCATATTTACCATGTGCCTTTTAAGTTTTTCAATTTAGGTATAAATTATACACACATACCTATGGTTAATATGAATTTTATAAGTTATATGAAAAGCATTCAACCTTTCATAATGAAATAACCAGCACTACACTAATACTGGTACATTTTTACTCATTTATGGAGCAGCTTTAGAGCATAGCAAGAAGAATGAGTACATAGCTATAGCTGAAATCATACAAACACTATCTCCAAGTCAACTAGAAGTAAGAACAACTTACTTCATGGCTTTGAATGATACATCACAAATCTTACAATTGCACTGAAGTGATAGCTGCACAAAGTGTAAAGCAAGGGTTTCCGTGTTTCATCTCTAAGAATTAAAAAATGATTTTTTCCTTAATGTTAGAATGAACCAAAGAAAATGCAATTAACTATTAGTAAAAACATGTTTTAAATAGTCTACACATGAATATTCTAACAGATTCAAAATGATGACAGAATTTTTTGCATGAAATTGATTATTTGTTGGAGATAACACTGGCACTATTATGACTTTCATAAATTGCTGAAAGATAGCAGCAATTTCTAAGGATGATTTGATAATAGAGCTGTTCATTCCAAATGAAGGATTTCAAACACAAACAATACCTGCTGTGTCATATCCTAATATTTTTGTATGAATTCAGAAAGTGATGACTTTTAAACTCACTGCTTTTATAAAAGAAATTATAAACTAATGTTCACTTTTTGACTATTATACTGATTGGTTGGCCAGCTGTTATCTTCTACTCTCAAAAAAAAAAATCCTGGATATTTAACTTATCAAAAATCTAGAACCTAGTAAATAAATTATAAAGAGGAAAATGGTGGATATTTTAAGTTCTATTATTCTATCTTCTAATCAAACAATGACTCATAAAATACATTCAGCTACAAAATTTCACCTACAGTCTAAATTCTTGGACTGTTGGGCCAGCCATTTAGTTAGCTGTGCTTTCTCATAAATGTTTGCATTTTCCCCCAAATAATGGTAGCTACAAACTTATTATCAAGTTGTAAAATATATGTGAGTAAAGTTATAACTCAATAAATGTTTCTTGGTTTTAGGGATTCCTGGCAAGGATTAAATATAATTTAGGTATAAAAATTAGTCATATACATTCAAATAGTCTTGCGAATCTCTTTCCTCTCAGAAATAATTTGTTAAGCAAGGCGAGATGTTACAATTTTTATAGACAAGGCCCATTAAAATTTATAGACACAATTCTGGGTAAATCATGAAGATCATCACATATTCAAAACATGATCTCAATTTCTCCTTTTCATAATCTTAACATGTTAATATATTTATCTTCAGGAGTTGTATTTATGTACCAGATAAAGCAGGCAGTTCTGGACTTTTTCCCAGGCTTTCTCTGCCTGCCGAAACTTACTGGAAAATCCTATTACGCTAAATTCTTATAAGATAGTCTGAAATCAAGATATTATTGCTGCATTACGCCTGGGCATGATGAGTTCTTAAAAAAAAAAAAAAAAAAGCTTGAGGGGAGGATAGTGGTTAATGGGTACAAAATTATAGCTAGACAGGAAAAATAAATTCTAGTGTTCTACAGCACTATAGGGCGAATACAGTTAACAATAATTTGTTGTGTATTTTCAAAAGACTAGGAGATTTTAAATGTTGCCAACACAAAAAATGATAGATATTTGAGGTGATGGAAATGCTAATTACTCTGTTTTGATCATTACACATTGTGTGCATGTATCACAATATCACTCCGTATCCCATAAATATGTACAATTATTATGTCAACTAAAAATAAGAGGATAAAGAAACCAAATTAGGACATAAGAATGAGATAAAAACATTTTACTGTTTCAGCTTTTTTGACTAGCCATTACTGTTCCCAAGAGAGAATCATTAAGTCTGGTAATTTATAGCTGAACATTCTCTTTTGAACCCTATATCACTTTTTCTACTTAGAATTAATTTGTTTAAGCATGCATAATGGCGAAGGTGGGGCAAAGGGCAAAGGTACTGATTAGAAATGTACCAACTACTGTTTTGAGTAAATACAATGTGTTGTGACTTCTTACATTTATATCTTAATAAGACATGCTTTGCCCTTATTTGGATAAATATTAGATGATTTTTTTAAATCATTTGCATTTATAACACATTTTACAATGCTAGTCTTGAGTCTTAAGCTTTTTATTAATGGAATCCTTGGTGAAACAATGTATTTTCAAATAATTCAAAATATTATTATATCAAAACTAGCATATATAGGCAAATGTATATAAGCAAATATATATATTTAATTTGCAATTAATTGTATTTTAGTGGTCAACATGTTTATAAAAACATTTAACACAGGCAGGTGTGTACCATTTTGGTCACTGAAGTGACAATTTTTAAACATTAGAAATCATATGAAATCAAAGAAATTTTTAATGGATTTAGAAAAAGCACACTTGCTCAACAAGAACAATAGAAGTTACACATTTGAATGTATTTATGACATTTTTGTTTTAATTAGCCAATTTTCATATTTGGATTTCATAGGACATAATCACAACTCACCTTGAACAACGGACAAACTGAGTGTTAAAAACCATTCAGGAAGCTAGGAATAGCCCACAAAAGGGATGACGTTGACAATATGTGGCAAGATAGCCAGACCCTTTTACTTCAGGTCTGTCCTATACTTGTCAATTAAGAATCTTAGATATTTCATATATACATACGTGTGTGTATATACACACACACACACATATAAGTTTAATATATATATGTATATTGAACTCATCCCTTGAAAAGAAGTATAGTCAGATACCCTCATATACTTTCATATCCTCATTCATTTATTTCTGTGTTATGAGGAACCCAAAGTTCTGGGTAAATTATGTTAATTTCCAATCCCTTAAAACAGGCAAAAAGTTGGAAGGTAGTAGCAGTAAGAAGAAAAAATATATTGTCTTTCTCTACATTTAAGGAAAAAATAACATGACCATTGTTGGAAAGAAGTGGATCCAATAACCTGCTTTACTGGATTTCTTTTACCTAAAAAATAAATATTCAAAAGAGCTATGATGGCACTCTCTTTGAAATTTAGTCACAATTAGAAACTTCTGGAATGTTACCTAGTTTCCTTTTTCTGTTAAGTCCATTATACCAAGCCTTAAGTCTCTTCCATGTTGTACTTTTTCACAAACTTCATATTGGCTAGGATCAGGGCATTTCTCTTCTTTAACCTAAACATCTTCACTTCTTTTAGCCTTTCCACACTGACCCAACGTACATTTTTAAAAATTATTTTATATTCTCCTCTTTTCAATCTATTTCAACCAGAAACAAATCTTAAATCATATAAAAAATTTAAAACTCTAACACAACCTCACCAATGTTTAGAGTTGGATGACTAAGCCCCATCTCGCATGCCATATTGTTGGCAATCTGGCATCATATATGATTTGATTGGTACTTTCATTCAGCTTTTGTCCATTAGGAATGTGTGATAAAATTTGGGTCTCTTCAGACATAAATAACAGGACTATTTTATCTCCAAGTGCATTTAATGTGTTGAGGCTTGCCAGATTTACATACTTGCAACTTCCTTTATGTTTAAGAACATTTATACTCTCCTGTCTTTAAAAATAAGGAGCCACTTTTACAAAGTATGTTATTATTCTTGCTTATTTGTCATGATGATTCAAAAATTGGAAGGAAGAAAAAAATATGATTTTCTTATCAGGTTTTTCCCAAATAGAATTTTTTATGGTCTACTATCTCTATATGGTTTCGATATAATATAAAATAAATACTCTTTGAATCTTAAGTCAGTTACAAATTATAAATGCTACTTTGAATTTCTGATACGTAAAATTTTAAGTCTGAGACTAATTTTTTTGAAAATTTCTCTACATAAATAAATTTAAAATATGTTTTTCACAAAAATCTCTCCAGTAATATGTTAGCTTGTTGGCAATATTTTACACATTAAAATATAATAAGTACTCTTTATTGTTTTTTTAAAAACATAATTTATGGACAAGCAGATTTTACTCCTACAGGAATTGGATGCCAAAGGACAGAACAGAAAAGGGATAAAAGAGGGTTTTGAAAGATACTATAGGCTCATGAATGTAAAAGCCAAAAGTTGAATCTGATAGGGAAGGTCACATAAAAATTTTCAAAGAAAGGATATCCTGAAACTTGTCAAGTCTGCTTAAGTAGACACAAGCAGATGGTTACAGTGTAATTAGATTCACAAACAAAATCTAAAATTCAGTAAATGAAACTGAGAGACTGCCTAGCATTGAGAGCTGCATTCTGTTGAACTTTACAGGGGCTACATCAGTCTCAGGTCACTGGCAAGGACAGGTTGTAGCAGAATAATTCTGGTGGGAAAACAGAAAGCTGTTAATTGAGGCAAATATCCAAGAACCACTCCTCTAATTCTAGTTCTTTGTTAACAGATTCATGATTCCATTCTGATACCAAGAGCTTCAGGGAAGGTTGAGTCCTTTTATAGCCTCAGAGGTGAATTAGATTATTCTAGGTAGATCAAACATGATACTTTATTTCCCTTGCCTATCTTTGATTTACAAAGAGGCATGAGCTAAGATTCATAAATTAGTCATATATCTCTAAAATGTATACATTATATGTAAAAATCTTTACATATGAATAGTTCCATTAAACATTAACATATATAAAGGTGAAATGAAGCTCTAATATGGAAATATTAAAAAGACTGATGTGTTATTTTAATTGGAAATGATTGAGCCTCCTTTTTTTCATTCAGAGATAATAATGATTTTTTAGAATTTTTAGCAAATTAAAGACTTTTAAACTATCACCAATTGTTATTACAATCCATGCGTGGTTCATGCATATTTATATACAAATTTTAAAAGTTCTATATATGCATATCATAATACATAATTAAATAATACTTTTAATTAAAATGTGGACATGAAATATACATGTATACACAAAAACCTGCATTGAACTCTAATTTCAATCCCTTAGGGAAAGAACAAAGAAGACAAAAACTGAAATCATCAGTGATAAGTAAGGTACAAACTTTCTAGGTTTTTTTTTCTCTCCCTTTTTTCTATAAGGCAATAGCAACAGAAAATGTCAAGAAATAGATTAAACAGATCTTTGTTTTGATACTTATTGCCATTATACTGGTTAAACAGAAAGAGAATTGTATGCCGTATTTACTTGCATAATTGCTGCCCTTTTCTTTCTTGCTTTGTAAGCTGCTCAATTCAAATTAACCTCTACAAAACTCTACATACAGCAATTATTCAGCAGTGGAGAATATGTGAGTAAATATGGTAAATGAAGCAAAATACAGTATTGTACATAGCAACAAAGCACAAATAATGTGCTGAATTTAATAAATTCTGAGCTGGAAATGAAAAGGAAAAGATGAAAGACCATCAGGTGCAGGTAATCAGTTTGCATGTACATTTGTAGGACATATGGCAAACTTAACACAAAAGAATAATTTTTAGCAATCAATATTCAACTAGAGAAGAAACATAGGAGAGTAAATGTTTCCCACCCTTCTTGGGCTTTGAAAACATGATTCTTCTGCATGAATTAACTTCTACATGTTAAATAATTAATTTGAAGAGATGACAACTCTAATTTAAATTCACTCCTAATATTGCCTACACTCTTAAAAATAGAAACATTTGTATACAGAAATACATTAAAGCAACCAGCAATAGCTGATGATCACTTTTTAACACCAAATGCTCCATTTAAACAAAGAAACAAATACAAAATTAGGGCATATAATAACAGAGAATAGACTGACAGCAGACAGACCTCAAGGAGGCAGGACTGACCAACATTGTCCTGCTCTGCCTGTGTTGAAGCCTAAAATGTTTCAGTGATATGTATCCCCTTCCTCAACGTCCCATTATAGCATCTCATTTTCACTCCAATTCTAAAGTTCCTTTAATCACTAAACCTAAATACTGATAGGCATCCATACTGTATTTTGGATAAAGAGTATATTAATTCTGAGTTTCTGCTACTCAAATAACAACAAAAAGATGTATCTACTACTATTAATGTTATGGTAAGTAAAATCTGTGAAAACAAAGCTTTTAGGAAGTTTGTGGTTCATTAACTTGTCATAATAAATTGAAATGCAAATACAATATTTATAAGACAACATAGGTATAATAAGCACCAGCTCTTACAGACTGAAAAAGAAGTTCCATTGGCCTCATCCAGAGTCATCCTTACTTTCAACTATGTCTTTAATATATATCTGTTTTGTCTGTTTAAAGTAAACAGAAATGTAATTGGCATCACATTACTGCATTATTACTCATGTACTTAGTTAGCTCTCTTTATCTAGGTGCAAAGATTTTCAATTTCAGATTTTCAATATTTTGCCTCAGCTAGAGTCCCTTTCTTACAATTTCCAGCTGGAAACCTGAGGAAAAAATGTGTCATGTTTTTTGCCATTAAAAATAATACATGTTTTACCTGAGAGAAGTAGTTCAGGTTATAAATTCTTTTTTTTTCCTTTTATTTTATCATATTATGGGGTGCAAATATTGTTAGGGTTACATATATTGCCCCCGCCATTTCTCTCCCCGCCCCCTACCTTACCAAAACATCAAGCGTGTCCTATCCCCAGGTGGTGCGCATCGCACCTATTTTGTAAGTATATATCCTTCCCCTCCTCCCCATCCCATCTGCCCACCACGCGATAAAAGTGTTTTTTTTTTTCTTTTTTTGACCTTTGGGTTACATTGTATATCTCTGCCTTTACCTACAAAGGGTTAGAGGTATTCCCTCCCCACCCCACAATGCTTGCCACAACCCTGAGATGTGTGTCTCCCCCTCTATCAAATGGTGATAGTGCTCACCAGGGTTTGGGGGAGGGGGAGATACACAGGTTATAAATTCTTTTCCTTCCATGAGCCTTCCAAATAGAAACTCTACAAATTTCATCATCATTTTAGCACATATTCCCTGGAAATTACAGTAAGCCACCTATGTCCCATCTTTCATTTTCAGGCATTGTTTTCTAAGATGAAAGTAGAACCAAATGTAAAATATATTTTAGAGATTAATAATTGGGACAAATATCTCAAAAAGCTATCTCACCTTATAGATGGGTAAGTAGATGCATCCCTAAAGTCAAAAAAGTTAGGGTTTTTTTCTAATTTTAGTGCAGCAAAAATTTGGGACAAAATTGAGTACCTGTGTAGACACTGAATGACCAGCATTCATTCTCCCCAATATTGCTTTCCTCTAAAAAGATCCCATGAAGAAAATTTGACCCTAAATATAACCTGGGCTTCCCTGTCACAACTGGATCCTCTTCCCACTGTGAAAGCCATTTTATCCCTTGAAGCTTTGGTAAAATTTGTTATCAATGATTTGGTTTAGTATATGGTTTCTCAAACTGTGCTATTAAGGCTAAAAACACTGGTACAACCCCTATGAGCTTGTCAAAATGGAAATTAATAAGCCCTGTCCCTGACCTATGGAATAGGAATGCCTGTGGGTGCAGATTATCAGAAACATGGCTTTAAATAACCTCTCCAGGTGATTCTAAAGCACACCAAAGTTTGAGAACCACTGGTTTAGAAATTTCAACTTTAATAATAAAAGGCATATTATTATTATTGTTGTACTAATATTAATAATAGTAGTCATATTTCTATTATGGGTTCTAAAATATTGGTTTTTTGTGATTATACAATATATATGAGCAATAAATAAGAAAGTCTATATAGTATCTCTTATTCTATGGTACAGGAAGTTTATGCATAAGAAGAGAAATATGTGTCTATTTATTCCATCCAGTTTAAGCTTCTTTTATGCATGCTCCTAATATATAATAGCCATAGTGGTCTCTCTCAAATTTGGAATTCTAGAATATATGTAACCCAAAACTAGAAACCCATATAAGTAACTGATACAGATCATTAGTTTTATTCACAGTATATGATCAGTATTATGCAATGAACGAATGGGCTACATGAGTGAAATCAATCTCGAAAATGTGAAAATAGAAGTATCCACATATTAGGACAATATAAAATAGCAGGCCACAAAATTTCTGAGTGTACTCATCTGGAATCTCTTTGACTTCTCTGTTTCTAATCCTTTTGTCTCTCAAAATGAACCAGCAAGATTTAAAAATGAAAAAGCTGAGTCAAACATAGTGATAATATTGAGAAAAAGAATAAAAGGAAGAAGATACATGCTCTACAATAAATAGTTATCATCTGTTACTTCTAAATTATCAGAACAGGAATTGCTTTATATGACCACTTTAGCTCCTATTGCTAACAATAACTTGAAAAGAAGAGAGAGTGTGGTTTAAATTTGAAATCTAATCTCATTTATTTTCTTACTATATTCCTGAATGTTTCAGTTGTCATAAGAATTGTTCAATTTGTTGGAAATTTGAACAAGTTTCTATTTTCTTCTCTATAAAATGTATTTTAGAAAGCAAAAAACAACTGAAAGGCATAATGCCAGTAAAGAGCCATAAAATGTTATCACACTAATGAATTGTCAGGCCAAACCCTCAACTATGATAGACCTTATAACACTTCCCATAGGTACCCCAAGTAACATTTGCCTATCTTAATGTCTTTAATTAATGAGCTTTATTTATTTAGGTTTTTTTAGCAGTTGTATGTTTAGAGGAAAATTGAGCAGAATGCAGAGAGAATTCTCATATACTCCCTTAGCCCCACCCAACTTCTCCTATTTTTAAATAATATCTTACTCTGGTACATTTGTTACAATTGATGAACCAATGCTGATACATTATTACTCACCAAAACCCATAGTTTACATTAGAGTTCACTTTTTGTCTTGTGCATTCTATGGATTTTGACAAATGTATAATGACATGTAGCCACCATTTCTGTATTATACAGAATAATTTCATTGTCCTAAATATCCTCTGGCATGGCTTATTTTTTTAAATTAAATTTTATTGGTAAAGACAGTTTAAAATTCATTTAGAAGAGGAATAGGAGATGATTGATGTTTGATCTTTACTGAAAACTTAAAAAAGGTTTCTGGGAAGTCTTATATATGCTATACAAAAATATATGATAAAATGGTATAATTTGGCTCTAGCACTGTTCTACTCAAAGTGTGTTTCAGGGACCAGCAGCATTGATAAGGTTACTACCTAGAAGCTTTTGAGCAATGCAACATCTCAAATCCCAACACAGACACAGACGTTCTAAATATGAACCTCGATTTTAACAAGATCCCCAGGTTATATCTTGGGCAAACTAAAATTTAAAAGCACTGCTCTAGACCAGGAGAGTATCTGTCTCCTAACTTCCAGAATAACAGAGCTTTAAGGAATTTCAGAAATAATTTAGTCCAACTCTCTTGACTTTTGAGTAAAGAATGTACACAAAGTTTTTATAAACCTAACATTTATTTTTATTTTTTAAATTTCAAAGTATTATGGCACACAAATAATTTTGGTTACATAGATTGCTTTTCTAATACTTGTATCGTGATTATAAGAGTGCCCATCACCCAGATCCTGTTCATTGTACCTGTTAGGTAGGTTTTCACTTGTCCCCTCATCCTTCCTCCCTCCCTGGTTGATTTCCATTGAGTCAAAACGGAAATTCCTTTATGTACAGGTGTGGCCTTGAGTTAGTTCCAATTTAATAGTGAGTACATGTGGTGTTTGCTTTTCTGTTCTTGACTTAATGCTTCTTGCAACAATTTGGATGAAACTTAAAATTTTTTTAAGAGAATGACCCAGTCATCTTTTTTGCTATAATTAGCACATAGTAGCTTCCAACAATTGTTAGTCCAAAAATAAATAAATAGATATAGATAGATGATAGACAGATAAATAAAATTTGCAGAGTCACCTAATCTAAAAGCTATGAGCAGAATCTCCACCTCTTTCCATCATACCATCCTGCCTATATTAGATTAGGTTCTATGACTTTCTGGATGTATTTTAATGACATCTTTAAAAACAGACTAGCAGAAAGTCCAAAGGGCAACCAAGTACCGACATTGAGCCTTGATCTTACCATTT